AACAGTTCCATTCATTCACAGTTATAATTAATTAGAGTGAGGGGCGTGGCCAAGTACGAGTATTAGCAGGACATCAGATCAATAGCCGATCAAACATCTAAAGCGAGTATTAAGCATCATGAGAGAAAATATCTTGTCTTTAAGCATTCCCCGTTTTTATTATCCTTATCAACTGCTCTCTACGGTTTAGTTATAGTCTTAAGATACGTTTTTTGTGATATTTTGTTTAAGCATTAGTGAAAACTAATTGTAATCTATAGGTAGAGATCATTTTTTGTATAATTTATTTGCCATTTTCCGTAAGCGAAACAAATAAAAACACACAAACACAGAAGAAATCAAATCGAATTGAATTGCCTTGCTTTGTTGAGGTTACAGATGCAGATGCAGATGCAGATGGAGTTGGAGTTGGAGATGGAGATGGAGATGCATGCTGCTGATATTTGTTGCACGTTGCATATACGTATATGAGCACGCCTGCGCCAGCGAGAACTTACATAGTCATGACAATAAATTGTCATTGATCTTTTTTGCAGGTGAAGCAGATGCCAAGAGATGAGCAACGGCAGCGGCAGCGGCAGCAGCTGCGATTGCTTCTAGTGCTCCACGGTTAACTACTCCCATGGCTGTCTCGTCTGTGCGCTGCATTTGTCAACTTGCCAGCGGAGCGCAGAGTAACTTGCCACAAAATGCTGCAGCCTCTCCACGTCTCTCTCTCTCCCGGTCTTTCTCTCTCTCTCGCTCTCTCTCTCTCCCTGTCTCTCTTTCTCTTTGCTTACAGGCACTCGAGTGGCATGGTTGTCACGCAGGCCGCAGACACTGCCTCCAACTCCAGCTTCAGTTCGGCCTCGGCTTGCTTTTCATAATATCTTCATAAGCATTTGAAGTGTCCCCCTCTCTCGCTCTCTCTCCCTCTCTACCTCTCTCTGTTGCTCTTGCTATCTCTGTCTCTGTGTGAGTTTGAAATTCAAGTGCAGCGACGAAGCCAGAAGAAAGATGAAGCTGAGCCGGAATGAGGCAAAGCGCAGTTCAAGATACTTTCGTCGCACACAAACACACACACACACAGACTGAGACACACATGTGTGTGAGCCCTGCCTCTGCACAGATAGCAGCCAGCAGACCCTGGTGCCGGGCCTCAGGTCCAGGCCATCTCTGGCGGCTGTCTCGGCGTCTGCTTTAAGATTTAAGATCGCTGCTCATTAAGTGCGTCCGCGTGTCTCAACGACAAGATGCTGAGAATGAGAATCTTTTGCGCGCTCACTCTCGCCCTCTCTCTCTCTCTCTCTCTTGCTGTCTCTCATTCTCTCTGTCTATAGCTCTCCCACTCTGGCGCAGCCTTGGCATGCGTATCTCAGGCTTTTGGGCTGGCTTTTCCAGCAACTCGTCTCGTTGCCTGGAGTTTTGCATCTGATTTCGTTGCGTATATTTTATTGGACACCAGAGTAGTTCACGTAAATAAAATGAAATGAAATAAGGCAAGCAGCCAGGCAGCCAGGCAGGCAGGCGTCTGCAACTGGAACGAGACTGAATTTTATATATATATATATTTATTTATTTGTATATGGTCGGCAGTATTGCTCTATGGAAATAGCTGAAGCACTTTGATTACATTCCACTTAGTTGCGCGTCACAAATCCCATAAGATATTCGAAAGGCTCCAAAATATAAAGAGCACCAAATGTTTAGATAACCCGTTTCTCGCTCACAATACTCCTGCTAAGCGCGCGTATGTGTGTATGGGTGTGTGCGTGTGTGTGTGTGTGTCTGTTGGAGCTTAATAAAAATCGTTATGCTAGTTTAATAAATATATCAAATAACCTTTAGGACGTGTTAGGGAACTTGTGACTTTAACACGTTCAGAACTTGCTACAAACTCTTTAAGCATATCGTTTTACATTTCGGATACACAAAATCAGAATACAGAAATCTTCTGTAGCTAAAATCAAAGAGATTTCCTTCATCTAAGCGAGGTAGACCATTAAACAATATAATAGAGCTCTTTGCAGTTCAAACATAAAATATAGAAACAAGAAATGTGGAGAAATTGTTGAGGTGGGTGTCAAGAGGGCAGACGACCTGCAGCCCACCAGCTGTGCCATTGTCTAAGCTCACACACACACGCACGCACACACACACAGACAATCACACGTTTATGAAGTCAAACTGCAAACACTTTGCATGTATGCTGTAAAACTTACCGTAACAAACAACAAATACAACACCAGCAACAACATTAGCAGCAGCAGCAGCAGCAAGAACAAGAGTATACAATTTTTATGATCATTTTTTATGGGGTTATTAATAAAAGTTTATGGACATGTGCCATACGGGTCAGGCAACAATAAAACATAATGCGCCTACAGTTAGTATACGTATCAAGGGGAGCTCAATGAATAATATCAATTGACAGAACTAAGATATCAAAATCTAAGGAGAAATTGATATTAAAACTCAGGTGTGTGATGGGAATGTTAAAGTTGAAATAGTCGAGATGTATATAGATATTTATTGGAAGAGTTTTGAATGACTAGAAATATAAAACTTAGTGTGCTCATTCACAAACGCATTTTAAACACTTTCTTGACATTCAGGTGTGTGAAATTGTCATAAAAAAGGTGAGTAGTGTAGAATTGAAGAACTTGGGTAAAAAATAATGTTTGCTTTAATATGCGATCAACTCTGCTTCAAACAGTAGCTATACTACTTCCGTTGTGAAGAGTTGAATTACAATTAAAAATATCTGAAATAAATTATGTATAAACTGATTTTGTCTGAATAATAAAAAATATATATATTTGTAATGAGTAAAGATTAAATCTTTATTGTCATTTCATTTAAGCAATTTGTTATTATATAAAGGTTCATATTCAATTGATATGCATTATTATCTTATTTTATATTTATTTTTTCAGATGAAGCTACATTTATTACCATTTACAAACATTCCCAGAGTTCAAAGAAGTTGTCTCCAGCCAGCTCTCGCCTTGTAATACCCATATAGCACGTCGTATTCAACATTATATTAACTATATAAATAAATATATATTTCCTTTTTCTCATATTTCTCTTGAACTGCCCTCGACGATTCAGTGCCGTGAGTTATTTTCGGTTAGTTTACATTGATTTGGCGAGTCTTTAAAGTTAGGCCAATGAAGTTGCAAGGCAGTTGAAACGATTCCTTTGGCTGACAACGCGACTCGAGTGTTTGGCTAGCTGTGCTGCTGCTGTTGTTGTTGTTCCTGTTGTTGTTGCGTCGTCTCTGTGTGCACAATAATTTGCATACACACAGATACACACCAACACTCGTGCAGCATTTGCCTCTTGGCAAACTGAGCATGCAATATTTTCTCGTGTTGTATGTTTACTCTTTTCGCTTTTATTTAATGTCCATGTTGGTCGGGACCTGGCTCTTGTGGCACTTGTTGTTGTTGTTGTTGCTGTTTCGCTGCTTTTATTGTTGTTTTTGTAGCTGCTTTGCTTGTTGCGTTTACAGCAAAATTCTAAACAAATTGCTTCCGCACCTGCAGCTAAGAAAATCAATGCAGAAAACAAAAATCCACAATGCAGCGTACACACAGACTAGGGATCAGAGAACTATAAATATATATGTATATGTGTATGCATATATAGTTGATCTCTTTGTATGGCCAGCTAGCCGCACTTCAAAACTGAATTCAAAATGAGAATTCCAATCAAAATAAAACATTTCCCAGGCCGAAAGAAAATGCCGGGGCTCTGACTCTCATATCATATCATATCGTAATCCTGACAATAGGCCACTAAACTTTAGCAATAACAATGCGAACAGAACACAACTAATATTTACAAAAGAAAGGGTAAGTGCGACCAACACGAAGAAAGAGACCATAACACACAGACTCACACACACATAAACACAAACACACCTATTTTCTGTTCCCCAAATTTGGTTTTTCTTTTCTTTTTAAGTGCGCGCGTCCCTTTGGGCGCTAACGAAATTACGTGGAAGAGCAGCAAATGTGCAGCAGGCTCTAAAGAAATTTACGATCGGCATTTGGATTTGAATTTATGAAAAACCTTCTTTCTTTTTACACCTGAAAAAAAATAGACCCGAAAAAAAAAAACAGAAACAGAAAATAGACATAGAAGAACATCTTTTGAGATGCTTAACTGCTTTTCTTGGGAGTCTGGCCGAGCATCGACTCTCGCTTGGCTTGGTGACTGTGTTTCTTGTTAACATATGCTCGGAAAAGAAGAAAGAGAGATAAAATACTGATACGCTACAGATACTGAAGAAGTACAAAAAAAAAACGTAGAATAACAAAAGCAACAAACAGAAGACTTAGGCAACGAACTTGCTCGCATGTGATTTGATAAGCATGCTGGGAAAAGAGGCAAATTTTGTATAAACTTTGAGGCGACTCGACTGTTCATACTAGGCTGCTGGCAATAATTTAAACTTTTTTATTTTTTTTATTTTTATTCGTAAGTCAATTCATTTAACGATTTACTGATTAATTTAACAAACTGGTCAATGGCTCTGTCCCTGTCCATATTGACATTGACGAAGTGCAGAACTTTGTCTGGTTTGCGTATGGTTTCTAATATGCGTAAATAAATATGTTTGTGTAAATACCCTGTGGCTTGACAGTGAGCTGAAATGGGGTATCATAGGAATACTTTGGCAACTGGCGGTATTTAACAGGGATGGCCTGTAAGAGTTGAGAATGACCAAAGCTTTGATTGATTTACTGAGTTGCTTTATAAGGTATCATCTAATTTGTCAGCAATAAGTGGTAAAGTTAAGAATTTTATATCTATCGTGGTACAACATAAAGATTATAAGCTATGTCTATTTTCTTTGAGAATTATTAAGTTTCACTGGATATATCTAAAGCCTCTTTTGCTCTCCCTTAAATAGAAGTATTCTATAATTTATTGCAAATAGATATTGTTTTTTAATTTCTCAATCATTATCAACAAATTAACTAATCATAAAGTATTTTATGTCTCTTCTAGGAATTTTAATCTGGGAACATATAACTTCATGATTACCCACAACTGCATGACAAGTAAGTACCTGTCGCAGTCCCTAAATATATTAGGGTCTATAAGAGATACAAAGAGAACTAAGTCTATTATAATACTATACAATATTATGCATAGATATATGTTCTTATCTCCTCAAGTCTGCTGTCTTAGAGAGTATCTCTCTCGTCGTCCCTCTCTCTCTCTCCAGAGCTATTGAACATGCGGCTTTCCCCAATATTCTTCCCAATTTTGGTTTCGCTCCGCTCTAACACACAAAGTCGAACCTGTTCGGCTCAGCACGGCTGTCCGGCTGGCTGGCCGCCTGTCCGTCCGTCTATTCACATTGTTCGAAATCTTTTTGGCCGAATCAGGTGAAGTGAGTTGATTGATTGCGCTAATTTATAACGACAATGGGTCAGATCGCACATGGACCTTTGAGCTTGGCCTGTTGTTACTGTCTGCGCAGTCAACTAACTGACTGACGGGCGGGCTGCCTAACTGTCTCTCTCTTCCTCATTATCTCGCCCTCTCGCTCGCTCTCGCGCTTGCTGTCATAGCAGCTGGCTGTTGGAATCCATTAAACAACGCCTTTGCCCGGCCTTCTGCTGTGACTGTGGCTCTGGCTGTGGCTCTGGCTCTGGCTCTGGCTGCTGCCTGCCTGCCTGCCTGTTGCTGTTGCTGCTGCTGATGATGATGATGCGCGCGCTGATGAATGAATCTTTTCAATTTTGAAATTTTCTTAAACGAATTTGTCAAAAAGCCTCGGAGGGCAGTGCGCAGAGCGAGTGCGTGAGGGCAACGGCAGCAGGGGCATCAAACCCTATGCAAAACTAATGAAATTAATGTTCGTTGCTTAAGTCTTTTGTTTCTGTGGTTTAAACACATACACAAACTCTCTCTCAATCTGGCACTCTCTCTTTCGCTCTTCTCTCTCCACTCTTTAACTCTTGTTCCTTACAACATTTGCTTTTGTTGACCTTGCTCGATCAGTGCATTTGTGAGAGTCGCCTTGGGCGTCTGTGCAGCACCAGCAGCAGCCTAAGAGCTAGCAATGGTCTGGTTAATTGCTCATGATTGAATTATAAATACATGCAAAGCCAGCTACAGCTGGCCAGCATCTGAACTAATGTGCCACATAATCAGCTGCCGGCTTACCAAATCAGATACATGCGTCGCTCGGCCCAAATCTGAAAACAATCTACAAAACAGGCAGTCGAGAAAGAGAGAGAGAGAGAGAGAGAGAGAGAGAGAGTGAGAGGCCGTCAAAGATACAAATTTAATAAATTATAAGCCTACAAGCTCAGCTAGTCAATGTGCTTAGACAGAGCCCAAACAGAAACACACACACACACGCACGCACATACACACGCAAACAGAGTGAGATGCTGTGGCTGTGACCAAACACTGAGACGAGCTTTAACACCTCGGCACACCAAGGCAAACATTTGACTGGCCAAGGGAAAACCTTAAGACGAGTTTCAGTCAGGCATTAGGTACTTTTCGTATATATGTATGTATATATGTGTGTGTTTATACCTTTATATATAAACGAGGCACAGCAACAAATTAACAAACACCTGAAAGTGAACCTAAACCAACGAAATCATTCGTCGCTCGACTCGACTCTGATGCGGGCTGATGCCGCAGCTCGTTCATGTCGAGCCCATTTTCCAATAATTAAAAGCTTCACTCCAACAACAACAAGAATAAGAGAGTAGAAGATGAAGAATAAGAAAAACAAACAGTTTGACTTCAGAAATTCAGCTCGAATTAGATGTTTGTAGGCGTGGCTTAGACAGCCCATCGTGAACGGTGGGAGAAATTCAAGTATTTTCTTGATGAATATTTTTGTTAATAAATGTTGCAAGCGTTGTCAAGTGGGCTAACAAATGGTTTGTTTTTTTTTTTTCTTTTCTTCAGTTTATTGAACTGTAACGGAAGTTCGTCAGAGCCAGACAGAAATACTTGGAAAATGTAGAAAATATGAATATGAATTTGAATTTTAGATAAAGTGTTGATATAGTGAGGATGATAGGCTGAGTCAAATTTAAATGGAAATTGATATGCATTTTAAAGAAGTATATTTGAATTAATTTTGTATATTTATTTATTCATTTTATTTTATTATTTTTATTTTTTCTTAGATATATTTTCATATTTCTACCAATAGTTCTTGTGTATTTCGAATTATAGCTATTATTTATTTTAGTCGAGAAAAATTTTAAATAATTGATAAACGTTTTGATTTTTTAGTCATAATTTGATAAAGGTTAGGATGATAAAAATTGGGATTGTTACTATTTTATTTATTTCTATTTATGATTTCTAGTTTGTAAAGCAACAAGATTTTATCTTATTTAAGATAATACTCAGCTTTATTTTTTATAGAGAGGAAACATTAAGAGCTCCTCTATGGATAAATCTATAACTATTATAATTATAATATATATAGACCTACTCATTGAAGCATAGGAAAACCGAGAATACCAACGTTTCAGTCTACTTAACTAATTTTGCATTTGCCAGTCTATTGCGCATGATTAACTTGTTTTGATATATATGGCTAACAATCTCAATATAGTTATTTGTATGTATGCAGATAGCTCATTCATATTCCCATCTCATATGATCTCCACTTCCATTATTTGTTGTAAATACAACAATTCCGAACACATGTGCTGTATATATATTTAACAAAAGTGAGTGAACTTCAGTTGAGTTGTGTGGACCTCCCGCGGCTGGCTAATGTAAATGCCAGCTATTGGCTCTAATCGTTGATCATGGATCAGTATTAACATCAGTTTAATTAGCTGCTATTTTTTTTTTTGGGGTCGCACCCCAATCACAACAAGTTGTTGACCTTCACTTCTTAAGCGAGTTCGCGTTCTACAAACACTCAGCTCAATTGCCATAATCTGCATAATGAAAATTTATGATTGCTCTATGATAGATCTTTTGCCTATGCGCTCTAGTATTTATAAGTACTGACAGAGTGTGTGTTGTATGTGTGTGTGTGCGGCGCCAGTGCGACAAATGCCACTTAATTGCTTAGCCAATTGGCAAAGTTAGCTTTTCTAATGCATGTTAGCGCTTGTTATTCAACAACATATTTAAAACACTTTAAAATCGCGTTCTCACAGATCTATTTGCATGTGCTCATATATATGTAGCTCATGTGTATATTTATAGTTAAATGCCTGCGTTTCCAAACTGTAGCGAACTTTATTCAATGCCATTTTGCATGGCGCCGTTAACAGCTGCAAGCCATGTATACCCTTGGAGTGGGTAGCTTAGACTAATGATTAATTTTAAAATAATAAATAACACAAGAAAACTATTAGCGAGCATATAGATATATTGATTATCAATATAACAAAAATTAATTCTTAGTTTAATCTTTATGATATGGTATCAATGCATTTTATGTACAGAAACCAAGGCAAATTCATCACAACAATATATAGCATATAGTTTATTTAATTAGTATAAAATATGTAGAGTTTATATAATATTACCAAACCAAAGTAACGGAAACATGATTACTTTTATATGCCGATGCTAAGCTCTTAACATTAATAAAAAATTAATTAAAAATGTTAGTAATTAATTTAGAAACATATCGATTTTGTTCATGTTCATATATTTAATTTATTAAAGAATTAATTCTAAATAACAGTTTAGTCTACGCCCAGAGCAGCAAATGCCTTTAAGAAGTCGTTCATATATATTACATAAAAATTATAAAAGTACATTTTGACCTTTTTAAATGAATTTGATTTATATCAATCTATTACAGAAAATTTCCCTATACAAATTATTTTATTTTAATATTTTTTAAGTACATATATGGCAGACCTTCTTTATACGCACTTAAACATTTGCTAAATATGCTGCAAGCTAATTGAACTATGCATAACTTTGATATGCTTTTCTTGTAAATATATACCCCTATGTAGATGTATATATATAGGGCATCTAGTGGTCATCCTCCAGCTGCAATTTCTCTACAAGAAATCAAACGTCGCCTGTGCTCATTCTTGTCTTTAGCGTGGGCGAAGCTGTTGCCGTCGCTGCTGTTGCATACAATATAGATTCTAATTGTTGTTGTCCATTGTTGTTGTTGTTGTTGTTGTAATATTGCATGCAAATGTCTGTAGCCGTTTAATATTAACAACCTTCAAACGATGTTTAATAATTATCAACAGTCCGATCAAATGCTCGCAATAACAACTGCAGCTGACTTGGAGTTTCTGTCTCTGTATTACCTAAAGGCATACACAGGTATATATATGTGTGTGTGTGTGTACATCTACATCTATACATAGCTAGTATTCTATAGTTGTCATTGTGTTAACTTTCATTAGCTTTCTAATGCCTGTTTGCTGCGCTTCGGTTTTGCCGCCTGCCGCCTGCCGCCTGCTGCCTGCTGCCTGCTGCCAATCGTCATTTCATTTTACTGTCACTCAAATCTTTTATAAGTTTTTCTTTCTCTTTAATTTTTGTGCGACGCTTGGGCCGTCGCTTCTTACGGTTGTTTTTCTCTCTTCTCATTCACTCACTTCGCGCTCCGTCGTCGTCGTCGTTTGCTTTATAACAAAACGAGCGTCTATTGTAAATATTTTTCCATTATTTTCCATTAGTTTTCACTCGTTTGTTACATTCCCCGATTGCTGTGTTTTCATTTGTTGTTGTTGTTGCTGTTGTTGCTGTTTAGTGTTTGGTGTTTGGTGTTGGCGTGGTCGTTACACAGGTTGTTCTGCTTGTTGTTGGGGTTCCTGCTTATGGGATTCTTCTTTGCTTTGGCATATATTGGTTATTATCTTTGAAGCGCATCGGCTTTACTGCGTTCATGCTCATGCCTCGATGTTGCTGTTGTTGTTGTTGTCTTTACTGTTTGTTGTTGTTGTTGTTGCTGTTGCCGTTTTCATCGTCGTCGTTGTCGCCTGTGCGTATTTGGCCAGTTGACTGGGCGCGTGAGTGACGGAATGATGTTACCCAAAACCAGTTTCATTGACAATTATACACACACACACACACACTC